ATTTTTTTTCCTTTGCGGCCCGGTACAGAGTGCTCCACGAACCGGTACCGGTCCGCGGCCCGGTGGTTGGGGACCCCTGGTTTATAGCACCGTTTTTTACTCACCCCAGTATTCTACCACATTGGGTAGCAGGAATAGAGTAGGAACTCACCAGGACTCTTGCTCCTCAAAACTAATATACACATTTTAACCATAACTGAGTCATTAACATTAACATTAAAAACAACTGCTGTAGATGGGCATTTATTTATGAACCTCTTTGCGGAGGTTTTGATAGTAATTTGTATGACCTTTTTTTGTTAAACCATCCTGTACAGAAAACAGCTAAAGAACATAAAATTGGAAACATGCCAGCATTTGGTATGTTAATAAGTTATATTTGAACCAAAATCCACAGTGAAAAACACAAGAGTCTCTTTCTATGACATCAGATGTATTTGCTTTGAAATATTACATCCAAAAGATGGCCATATCAGGCACAAAAATTGGTACTCTAACACTGCTTTTAGGCAGTAAATGTTACATAAAGAGTATCATTTTTTTACTCTTTTTAACCACTGGAATGAGCATTATATTTTAAAACCTGATTTTTTTTATGTAACAAAAGTTTTCACTGTTCTAAATCAATGAACTTTTCAATTAATCATCCAAGAAAAAGTAATTTCCACTTTTCTTCTGTTCCACGTCCTGGGGAAAGAAAAACACAATGAGTTTACTTAACAGTTGTAACTACAGAAAACCCCTCCACTACCACCACCCAACATTTTGTAGATGCGGTAAGTGTAGTATGAGAAGAAAATTTTTTTCTCATGGCTATTCCTACCTTGATTGAATTGACTTTGTTTATTCTTGGTCTATAGTTATTTGGATCTCTTCTGAAAGTAATTTCCAGCTGAGACAAAAACTTATTCATACCAGCCAGAAGAGTTTGAGGGCTGTAAAGAAAATTGGCAACAATTATTACATTTTAGACAATGAACTTTTCTAATTAAATGAAAGCCATCTACAGTTTGCCACTTATATTAAATATCATTTATGTACAACAAAGCACACACAATTGGATTCATCAGACATTTTGCTACAATCTAGTAGAAATCTATTATGCTGGCAGCTATTTAGGGGCAATGTATACCTGTGGTATGAACTAAAGGGAAAAAGCACACAACAACCTGCAGCCAACTCAATTTTGCTTAGGCTTGTAAAGTTCTGTTTTGAAGTGATTTTACCCAGCTTCCAAATGTACGTGTAGAGCTTTTCCAGCCTAAAAGGGACTTTGGAAATCTTTCCTGTCCCTAGACATAATATAGGAAGCAACCCTCCCCTTCCTTAATTGTGACTACTGGAGGCAAAAATAAAATAAAAATGATCCAAGTGCAAAGATGTAAATCAATTGCAGGGCTGGCAGAGAGGCCTGTGAAATGTAATAGAATTCAGATATTTCTTACACAAAGATTAGAAAATAACTACCTCCCAAACCTTGAAAGGAAGGAGTGGGAAAGAATTTTCCATAGTTCCAATTAGTGTTAAGTACTGACATGAAAGCCCTTTCAACATCTAGCCAGCCTCTTCCACTTTGTGGAAATACCAAATCAGCCTCCTTCCAATTTGTGCCCAAACATACCCAAACAATGTAACAGTTTAATTTGCAAACTACAAAGGCTGTATCTGTTTCCCAGCAACAAATTACTTAAGCGTACCAAACTTCCTTTGTGGTGCTCAGCTCTGTTCTTATAAAGATAC